CCAAGGACGTACAAGGCGTCGAGTCAATGGTATTATCAGAGTAAAGGGCGAACATGAGAGGGGCAAAAGGGAGACTGGTTGTTCAATGCAGTCGCTCGTAGCTGGACAGTGTACGTGACCCGATGAAGAGAGATTATGCCTCTCCATGGATTATTTGCAAGTCATTGCAGGTACGGGGGTGGAGGGTGGCAAGTGGGAGGAGATGGAGGGATGGGGGGTTGGAGCGATGGAGATATGATAAAAATTGAAAAATAAAATGCATGAGGCATTTTAATGTTTTTAATATATTTAGAATTTATAACTCTTACATGGAATGAAATATTCAATAAAAGTTACTTGTCTTTTCCGTAATTCCGGAGCGCAATGTGGTTGTAGGAAATTTTATGGAACTGTCGCGTAATTTTTACCTAAAATCACGGAATTTTCCCAGAGTGTTCTGTAATTTTTACCTGAATCTCCTGTGAAAAATTACGATACCGTCACTTAAATTTTCTGGGTCGATTCCGTAATCGGTGGACGAACTGTGAGTTCTGTAATTTTTACTGAATATTTCTCTTCGTGTATCAATTCAATTTTCGATGTCTGTAGGAAAATACATCCAGTAGTGGAGTCGTACAGAACTCATGTTCTTTACGACTCCATGAATGAGGTAAGTCTAAAGTAGTTTTTCAAATCAGTTCAATTTAGAGACGCTTTTCGAAGAGTATTCAACAATTAAAAGACACATAAATTGATTATAGAAATAGTAGATTATGTCATCAGGCGAAAAAAGTATTATCTGGCAAATGTGGCTCGGATTATAATCACATTCGCCAGATAATGCTTTTATCGCCATATGACATATTGTATTTTATGTCGTTGGGCCCGAAAACCACGATCTCCCCGAGCAAAGCGAGGTTAGAATTGCGATTTATCGGGCCTAATGACATAAATATTAATTTTATATCTTGATGTCTTGGAACCATTAGAGTTGATGAATTCCATTAAGGATGGTTATCTAAAATCGCAAGTACTTTAAAAAATTGATTTTTTTAAACTAAGAGATGCAGATATTCCCTTCACTTTGATACAAATTTCCATCGACCAACCCATGTTCATTATTTAGAAATGAAATCAGTAGCGAAGTGGTCAAACGGTTGAAGTCGATTTTGGCTATTAGCCAGTTTTCAATGAATATCTCGAAATCTAAGGGAGATAGCAAAATTTTTCTCATAACCTTTTTAGTAGCACTCAATTCGCTCTATAAAAAAGGTTATGCTGAGAATTTCGCTATCTCCCTTAAATTCGAAAATATTTCTGGAAAACTCAACTAGACTTAATTGACTTAAACCGTTTGACCACTTCGCTACTGAAATAGACAAAACGCACCAAATGCATGCGCTAACATGCGCTTATATGGGATAGAATCATTCAAATATTTCCTCTTTTTGCCCGGGTACCCTAGATTTTTCTCTGAGCATTGGATTCAGTATGGTTTTAGACTCTTCTAGTAGGTGAATTACCAATTTGAACATAAATTTCATAAAAGCCCGTGTATAAGGAAAAATCACTTTGTTCATTTGCGATTAATTTTTTTTAACGTTACAAAAGTGAGTTTCATATGTTCTGCTGTCAACCGAAAAAATTACAGAATTTTCCTTGACCATGAAAAAAAAACCCATTTACCGATAATTTACCGACACTGGCTAAACATCCTTAAGCTTCATATTCTTCCATAAATATCGCCAAACATGTGACATTCATAAAGAGTCATCCATATCATTTATGTAGTCTGAGAATTCCTTTTTCTAGATATGCCGAAAACAATCTGTAGAATATTTTGTTCTTATCACCTGCTCGCTACCACTTTTCTACAAACAGCTTTTAAATGTTAAAAACTGAAGCATTTTTCATTATATTTGCCTTCGAGCGAGTAACATAAAATAAACTAGACATGAAAACAACATTTACTCTCAGTTAACCCAGTTTTTCCGGAGACAGTGATGCTGGCACGAGTGAACCGTAACACTGCCTGTTGCACCATATTCATTGAGGGGATATTTCGAGGTTGGCCGTGGGGGGAGGAAAATCCCCTCAGCTTTGGTAAAAGTGGAGTGGGCTATGTACTTCCGCAAAAAGGGAGGGGGGTAGAATCAAGAGGGCTAAGAGAACGTCAGAGGTAAGGGGTTATGCTCTGGTTATGAATTAACGATAGTTCACAGAGTGGTTAATGAAGGAGGGGTTGGGTTTCCCCTCGATGAAGTGCATCGTTTGAAGTATTCCACTTGTATTTACCACTTGCAAACCTCCTCACACGCACTACTTCTGGTTCGATTGATAGCTCAAGGTCAACGAGGAGTGATTAAAGTGGGATTAAAGGGTTCACCGAGTTGATAATACATCTCAATCCTTCATTTTATGGAGAATATTTTCACTGCTATGTAATCTCAATATTTTTCATGTCTCGGTACAGATATTGACTTTTTGAGATTGAACTTCCGATGAGGGGAATCATTTTTTTTTCTCTGGCCTGAGGTGACACGTTCGATTGACTACCAACCCGGGACAAATCGATCACTCACACCCCCATCCTCTCACATTTTTCCAACGTTTTTTGTTGGAAAGAAACAGGCAACACCGATCGATCTAGCGGTTAACACTCTTTTTACTTTATTTCCATATTTGTTTAAACAATGCAACCACAATTTTTTCTCCACCTCTTCAACCTGTCCTACTCTCGTACAACCGAGAGATAGGAATTTTCGTGGTGAGTAGCACGAAGTGATGTAGTGTATGAGAGAATTGACGGCGGTGGAATTGGATTTTCAAGTTAGTCTTTTATGATGCTGAAAACTCGGAAGAAAATTTCTTTCATATTTCTCGGGTTTATGGGGAGAAGAAAAAGTATAAGATTCATCAAGAGGGTTTTCACTCTCAGTTTCATGGACTTCCAAAAATATTATACGATATTTTTTTCATCATGTTCTTAAGACGAAAAGAGGGGGGTCATCGGGAACCCTCGCTAATTACTGTTTACCATCCGGAATTGTAAAGACATGAAATATTGGATTTCTCGACGGATATAAAGTACCAAGGATAAATTGTCGGCAGAATAGATGTCAACAATACAATTGTCGCTGGAAAAATTGTCTTCAGTTTTCTTTTCATATGGGAATTTTGTCGCGGAAGTTTTGTCCACGGATCATAAAGCGTGTTACCAATTTGAATGCTACTACATTGCTTCATATTTCGTCGGTCTATGAGATAAGAGAGGATAAATGACTGCGCATGTGCTAGGGGATTCCTACCAAGTCCTGGTGGAGCAGAAGGTGACAAGGGGTCAAGGTCGTAAGAAACTCACGTGGATTCATGAGCCATTTCTGATTTCCATAAGAAGTGTTTTTCCTGCTTATTCTCTTCTGTTCCGGTAATCCACCGCCTTTCTCCATTTTTTTTCGATTGGGGAGAATAAAAATTATCACCTCGGCTATGCAGATTGGATCGATTCACCTAGTCCAGAGAGAAAATTCCGTTTGTTCCAATGTTTTTCGCCTTTACCTTAGAGATAACGGCGAAGGGAAAACTGATAATACTTGGTGGTGGAAACAGATCGAAATACCCAGGGGATCTCGGCAAACATTGTTTTCTCATTGAAAACCCAGTTACATGGGCATGGCACTCTGCAAGTCATGAGAATTTCTATTCAAGGAGAAACAACCTAGTTCCACCGTCTAGGGATTACTCATCCATGGTGACGGGTTGATTGATGATTGTGCTGCTCCAGGATTTCCATGGTGATCATTGTATATTTCTTAAATTGAGGGATGAATTTACTTCACTTTTTTTTAGGCATTTTAAACCCTTTGGTTTACTCCGCCATCGACCCTCTACCCAACCTTTCGGCTGTGGCCGACCTGCTACACTGTACCGCATTTGCTCTCGCGAGAGACGGAGGAAACCACAGAAAACCTCCGTCGCTACAGTCGATTCCTCTATTAAGAACCTCCCGCTCATCCAGAGCCGAGGTGAGACGGACCCTACCAGAATCCGCCCCAGGCGAGCCCCTGAACCTCCTTTTTACCGGAAGTTAAGGGTCGCCCCCCTGTCGGGATCCGAAGCCCAGCCACCCTTTCGAGCCCCTAACCCCTGTTTCCAGAAGTTAAAAAACCAGATCGGACTGGGATTCGAACCCCAGACTTCGATGAAATTTTTTTCGAGAAATACGTCACCAATGCATCTAAGGAGAATTGAAAGAAAAAGAATAGTAAATTAACGTACGAGTTGAGAGAGGGCATGTAATAAATATAAGGGTTACAAGTGTACTCTATTCTTCGAAAGTCGATTCTCGTCGATTCTCGGAGTATGATTCAGTTCTTCCATGCAAAAAAAACCTATACATTCAATTACAAATTCAGATTTTGCCCCATAGAACATTCCTCTTCCCTGCACATAAATCCGCCCATGAAGAACGTATTCTACGAATTGACTCATAAAACAGAATTGAGTCATGAAAGGTGAAATGAAACACGCGCAAACTCATCTGATGCTATTATGAATAAAATTCGAATATCCCTGATAAATCATAAATATTATTATGATCCCCCACTACATTGATGTGAAACCCTTTCAGCGTACTCAACAAGGTTTACCGTACGTGTCCTGAAACCAAGACTCTCCAACGGATTGAGGTCTGCCTCAAAACCCATAACTTAAGCCCATTCGATCCAGAAAATATATAGATAATTCCATCTGTAAAATATAAAAGCCCGAAGTATTTCTCTGACCTTCTGAAAAAATAAAAATCCCCCACTTGGCCCCGCGCCAGATGCCTCTCCCTAGGATTCCCATAACATACAAATTGGATTTTTACGATAAGAAAAGCGGGAAAATTTCCTTTCGATGCGGTTGTCTTGATATATTTCCACCCGTGGCTCAGTCCCATTTGGTTAGAATTTTTTATTGCTTATGAGGTTTGATAAGGAAAATCGGTAGTTGAAAATTAATTAACTGGGTGAGATTGCACGCGTTAGAACGGATAAACACTCCTGGTTGGATGTTTGGCGTTCAGACCGCAATAACGCGTGATCGCAGTCAGACTAGACTCATTTAATCGGATGAATATTGAATAATCCGAGAATTGGTTGGATAGAACACCACGGAACGCCGGAATATTCATTCAAATTGGCGGAATTAAATTGCTCGTATTAAAATAATTTGTGAAATTGGTAAGTTATTTTCAATAATTTATTAACAAATACTAACTCTCTTTCTTCGCATTTCTGCGCACTCATCAATTTATGTTCAGGTGTAAAATTCAACAATTTGCTATTTTACTGGTAGTGATGTCGCGAGACATTTCACGAGACAATACTTTGGAGAGATTGTCTCGGTCTCAGTGAACACGGAAATTTTTGATCTCGTCTCAGTCTGGAAATACGCAGTATCAACTCCTCTTGTGATGACTTCGAGTCAATTTATCTTATCTCGGTTTTCAGTTTTTCGCGTTTTTTATATGATAAAAACCGAAATTTTACATTAAAAAACACGAAAAACTTGAGACCGAGATGAGATAAATTGATTCGGAATCATCACGAGAGGAGTCGATACTATGTATTTCGAGACTGAGACGAGAGCAAAGATTTTCATGTTCATTAAGACCGAGATCGTCTCTCCACACTTTTGTCTCGTAAAGTGTCTCGCGGCAACACTATTTATTGATTATAAAATACTAATAAAAGATGAAATTGTTCAATTAAGAAAGCAAAACTTCCAGTGGAATATCTGCTATTTCATTCAGTATGTGTACTATATAAGATATGATGTTCACTTATTATATATTCAAGAATGAGAAAGAAAAAATTCCATTTAGTAATAAAAAAAGATGAATTGGATCTTAACGACGGAAATAACCAGGAAGGTCAAAGGAACTCTCGAGAACCCCTGGAAATTTACATTGAATAAAGAGGGGAAACGATGTATCCATCCAAACTTGGTCTACTCCGACCCTAACTGATGGCACTGCAATCCCTCACCCCCGATTCTCCCCCAAAGCAACATTTCGATTTTGTCCATCAGTCTACGTCTTCTAAATCCTCTTACTAATACTCTGTGAGCATTCTCAATTTTCTTTGGTCCTCCGGCAAACAGAGGAGTAAATATTTGATTGGGTTTAATTACGTGCGATGGGCAGGCGTTCTTTATCCAATGTTCAGAGCGAATATTCAAGAACTATTTGGTTTGGATAGTTTTACTCAAAACTTCCATTTTAAGAAATTACTGTCATGGTTTCTTCACAAAGTATTTATAGAGTTTGGTAAAGTTTCTGGGTGGTTTCCAAGTTCTGAATGAAGTTTAGATTTTGTTGAAATTGTTTGAATGAAATTGGAGAAAAATTGGAGGAATTTGCATAAAAGTTTCTATACCGAGGAATAAAATAGTTGAAAAAAGTTTTTCAGGAGTTCAGAAAGACATATTTCACTGTAGTGAACTACACGTTCTTTACGCTCTTTAAAATAGTCATATCAACGTTGTGTAAATGATCCGGACCTCAATCGGGTTCTGGAAGCATTGCTCATGAGAGATATTGTACCTTTAGCGAACGTATTGAAATTCAATCCTTCATTTGAAACCGAGAAAACCTTCAGAGGAAGGCAAGAACAGAGGTCAGGTATCGGCTGATACTCTGGTGGCTGCGTTTCGACCCGCAGAAGCTCAATATCCGACGCGTATCAAGCGACAGTTGATATAGCAGCGATTGTTCCCAACATATATATTCGTTCTTGTTCCAAATTTATCACTTCCATATTTATTCAAGCAGAAATTGTTAATGCAGAAATTGTTTTATCTATTCGGAAAATTTAGGAAACTGAATATTTATCAATTCTCACAATATTAGGAATTTTGGGAAATTTTTCAATTTTTAATCTACTGACAGCACTGAAGATGAAATTGAGTGCATTAAAACTTAATTTATCGATTTTATCAGTTATAGTTTCTACCATTCATTGAATTTTGCCAAGTTTTTCCATTATTAATGTCATGGCAGCATCGAAGATGAGATTGAGTCTATTAACCGTTCGGGGACGGGGTCGATATGTCGTACCGACGTATTTCGAAATGAATGACACCTTTTAAAGTTACATATTTACGGAATTATGAAAATTTTTTAAAAATAAACTCTGTAGCTCAAAAATTGGAGGCCCTGGTCTATTTTTAATATTTTAAGCGTCTGCGGGGCAAACGAACCATGAACAATTAATTTTTTTTGCACTAATCATTCGGTTTTAGACACATATAATCGATCTCCCCTTAATTTTTAATCCATCAGAAATGACCAAAGTTGAGAGGTATTAGGCGTCAGTTCTCAAACAAGTCTTGCTTGAGCCAACAAAATTGTCAGTTTAAAATTACCAAAGAAATAACTGTTTGGTTCAAATGTGAAAGTCTCAAACATGAATAATTGTCTCAAACATGAATCTGCTTTCAACAACAACGAAATATTTGACTCAAGAGGACGATCAATCATAGAAGACGGTGCCTTTTCAGGATAAAAATATCTTTTATAGAATGAAGTTTATCAAGAAATATTTTCTCCCTAAGTTACAAGAGTGCTGTTATATCGTTATCATTATTTCATTTAAGAATTTATTTTTTGTCTGATTATTGAATATTCAAAACGACAAACCACTATCCCTCGCTTCCCCCACTTGCAATGAAAATGCTTTTTTGATCATTTTTAACAAACGCTTTTTTTGCCACATATAAGACTTGTTTGAGAACTCTGCGGTTTCTCTCAGTGTACGTGAGGAGTTCAAAAATAATTTATTGATTATTTCAATTACAGCTTCTACCTTCTAACTTTCGGCAGCAAATTACCTGTAAATTGTAGGTTCCGTTAACATAAAGTCTCTTTTCTCAAATAATTTTATGATTATGTCTAGTAGTAGTAAACTTAATAATAACTTTCCATCAGTATAAAATTTTTCCCAAAACTTTTTTTTCAGGATATACAGTGATTGCAGTATTCACCAAAGAATAAAGATGAATTGTCCAAGTTCCTCCAGAAGGCAATTATCACTAATCTGTGCATACCTCGCTTTCATTTCTCTCTGGAATTCTGGATTGAGTCTAGATTTTGGACTTTCACTCAAAGTAAGACTTTTTTTTCACTAACAGATAGAATAGAACTAATCGTTCTAATTACTCTCTTTCCATTCCTAGCAAGATAAATTGTCCTTAAAAGATCTTCCGATTCCATCAATTCTGCAGGGTGAAAAATTGAATGCAACTGCTCATAATGCAACGAAATCATTGAGCACTTCGAACGCAACAGAATCAGCAATTACTCACAATGCAACAGCACCGGGGATCAGTGCATATGCGAGAAACCTCGGGGCCATTTCGAACGCAACAGAATCGGCCAATCCGAAACCAGAAGTCAGATTTGAGAAAAAGCCTGAAACTAATGGTACGTCATCCCCAGGGGAGAAAGATGATACCACCTTTCAGCCCGACACCGTTCTATTTCGTGCTGAGGACGTAGTCACTGAGAAACCTATTTCAATCGACGAAGTTAAGGGGCGAACAGATCTCAAAACGACGGAGACTGAGGTGAAAGTTGAGATCCCGCCATCTGAGCGAATGAATCCCCTCCCTGCTCACAATTTAACGAAAAATCCCGAGTCAAAAGACCCAGTCAGCAGGAAATTAGTCGATCGCGAAGACGTTCAGCTCCCAGTGAACAAAACTGCTGTATAGAAAGTCTAATGCAAATTCAAAATTTGTATCTTCTATCATTAAAGATTTATTTCATAATATAATACCAACAACTCTCATTGAATTTCTGTAATCAATAATTCTCTATCATGCTAAAAACTAATGGTGCCGTACCACCCCCAGGAGCCTGTTCGGTTAGAGGGTGAAGGTGTCGCTAGTCAACGGATCTCTCTTTCTTGGAGAGAGAGATCCGTTGACCAGGCGACACCTTCACCCTCTAACCGAACAAGCCCCAGGAGAAAAAGAAGAGACCACCTTCCATCCTGACACCGTTCTATTCGGTACTGAGGACGTGGTCACTCATGTGGCACACATGTCGCAGACATCCACCCTGAGAAATTCATTACAATAAACAAAATTAAGGATATCCAAGTAGTTCGGGAAATTTTTTCTGGGGGAAATCCTTCTCAGAGTTTAGAGAATCGGCCAAGAGTATTTTTTAGGCGCAATATGAATCTTATTTTTCGAACATTTTTTCGAGAAAACGAGTTTTGAAGAATGAAATTCAAGAGATTGTGTCCATAAGAGCTAAATAGTCCCATCCTCAATCCAATAGTTCATGGTCTTAAACGACGGGCTGCACGCATGAAAAAATGATGGGCCTTCAATTGAAAGCCCGAGTTGTAGACCCGAGTTTGTAGCAGCGATGTCAGACAAGATATGAATGTTTTTTTGGGCTCAAATGAAAGAGCGGGTCGAGAAATGGCGTGCTAGGGCCTCTAAACATGACAAATGTCTCTAAAGATGGTGTCTGTTTTCAACTGAAAAGCAGAGTTGTGACAACATTGTCTAGGAGGACAATGGAGTCTAGGCGTATGTATGGAACATTGGAGTCTGGAGACGTGATTTGTGGGGGACGGTGATTTGTTTTCCAAGGCTCGGGCATGTAATGTACTATTTTCTTTTAATAATATTCCAAAGCATGCTTGGAACACTTCTATACCATATTCAATTTTCATCGAAATCGAAAAAAAAGTAGATTGAAATAGTATGGAACGCCCCAGCAATAGCATAAATCTCACCAGGAAATTATTCTGTCGCAAAGACGATAAGATACCAATGAACAAAACGGCTGTAGAGAAAGTAATGCAAATTTAAAATTGGTATGTTCTATCATTAAAGATTTATTTCATAATATTACACCAACAACTATTATTGAATTTCTATAATTAATAATTCCTTATCATGTTAAAAATGCGAATAAACACTTATTCAATAATATATAATTATGTATATAATTTTATATACTTTTTATATATTAGAAATATCGTATAATTAATATATTTATAGCCTAGTGATGCATTTTGTGGTGAGGACATCAACTCCTTTATTCACACGTATTTAGCATCTCATGAATTTCATTCCTCAATTTCTCTCGATTTACGCAATTACTCGAGAGGTCAATGATTTCAATTAATTTACAAAAATTCGTGGATTTTCATTCTCATTCTTGCTTGTTTTGTTCCGTTGGAATGCTTAATTACATGAATTTTCTTTCAATGATTTTGTTTCGTTATGATAAAATAATTATATTCGAGCACAAGCTGACGATTGAGAGTTCATTCATATTTCATTCTTCATGATAAGCAATTTCCTGTGAATCAATATGATTATGTTACAGGGATGATTAACGAAACGATATAGATATGCTGATGTCTATGTGGATATAGTATGTATATATAGATTCTGAAAAATATGATATGGCGATGGCTCATTAAACTGCGACTGAGATTTCTCTAATTTCATTTACAATCGCTCATTCTAAATTCAATTCAATCTCGGCGGTTGTTATATCCCCTGGCATTGATATCCCAGACATTATTCATTTTATATAAGATAATGTACAAGACGTAAGTACAACAACTATTGTAGCTTAAATGAGAATCTGCTAGTGTCGTGCCTCAGTTTATTATCCTCAATTGATTAATTTTCGTATTATTTCAATTGTATTTCATTACAACTCGGGAGCGTCTATTTCCACGATCAATGGCCACAGGAAAAATTGGCAGTGTTTTCAACGATTGCTAATTCATTTAAATGATTTACAATTGTGACCCTCAATCGTGAAAATCTGAATATTGATTTGTTTTTCTTTCATTAGTTATCTAATTTCATTTCTATTATTTCAGTCAGTATAAAAATGTTTATATAATAGTGATATGTTTTTTGTGGATTATACAATATGGATTATGAATGCTGACGGGGTTCTGGAGAGGGGGTGAAGTTGTGAAGAAAATTTTATTGAGATTTAACTGAAATCTGAGACAACGACGATTGAGGTATTTGTGAGGTACGTCGCTCTTCTAATGTTCATGAGCAGCGACGATACTATCGGAGAATTCATCATTTTTCATTTAATTACAATTAGATTTAATATTTGTTTTTCCATTTTCTCGAAAAATCTTACTTTTCTACCAGAAATGTTTTCTTCCATTTAGTCGAAGACTTGTATTTTTCCATTTTTTTAATGTATTTGTAATCATTTTGTACTTGTACTGTTCAGCAAGGCAGCGTGTTGCACTTTGTTACTTTTAATTCATTTTTTTTCTTTATTTAATTACATTTAAATCCGGCCCACACATGTGCACGAATCACTCAATCACTTCGTTTTAGTATTGATATTTATTACTGTGAAATAGTAAAAATTCGATTCTCTCATTTACGCAGATATGATTATTACAAGCAGAAGAGGATGGTATCAATGGAAATTTTACGAATTGCCTTTAATCAATGATTTTCTTCGTTTTTCGACAGTATTGAGTATCACGGAGAGAACATGTGGACGTTTTAACCGTCATTTGCACACCATTCATTCATTCAACGTGCACTGATTCATATAACAATAATAACTATAATAAAGAAAAGCGAAGATGAGATGAAAAAAAACATATGAAATACATTTTGTTGTTTTCATTAACAACTTTTCTGGCTTTCATAATGAAATTTATTTGTTTTTGCTCGGGGAAGAGAATCATCCCGTAATGAAGATTACATGCGTTTATTTATTTCTTTCACTAATGTTTTAATTAAGAACAAAAAATAAATGAGTGAAAAAAAATCAGTGAATTGTTTTCCCTCATTTCACTAATTTTCTTTCTTATGTGAGACTTACAGTAAATAAATTTAGAAAAACAAACATAAACAGCAATAATGAATAATTAATAATGTAATAATATAATAGTGTATTGATGTATTCAATCGTAATAAGCTGTTGTGTCAAGTTCTCATAAACATATTTCAACAATCACGTTGAGAACGGACGCAAATAGCAGAGAAAAAAATAAAGGGTAATAATGATAATAATAATATTAATAATAATAATAAACCAGTGGAGCTACTTTAAGAAATATTACTAATAATTATGTATAGATATGTATATGTATGTACACAAATAATCAACTCAATTCGTTTCAATAAAAGGAGAAAAAAAAAGTTATTACTGATGATATCGTAACATTAGTGATAGACTAATTCACATGGATTGAACTATTAATTATAAAAGTATAATTATAATCCACTCGTGGATAAATTTCAGACGAGTGTATCACGAGTATACTCAGTAAGAAAACTATTGATTGCAAGTAATGAAGGATAAATATTGATTGAAACATACAAACGTCAACTAATGCATCATAATTGCAGATGGCTTAACTATGTGGATATCTGTTCTGTTGAGAAAGGTGCCTCAGTCATGATCACGAGCCTCAGATGGCATTTTTGTTCAACATCTGGGGAAAGTCATCATGAATTCATTCAGAAAAAAATGAAGAAAACTAAGAAATAAATGAATGGAGTTGTGAATTTTCTCTGCATTGCACGTAATGACATTCATTTGATTAATCGTATTTATATGGCCAGCATGATCGAATCAGTCGACGTTTATATATTAGTTTATCCGTGAATGTGCCACAATCATGAAATAAAAATCGAAACACCAATTTTCATCAGTTACGCGTTGTCATGCCGTAAGAATTAAGAACTTTGGTCCATTTGTTTCAATAATTATTCTTCACGGTTGGATATTTTGAATTCTTCTCTGATAATCTTCGTCTCTTTGCAATTTTCCCATCCGATAAATTCATGAATTTTGTCTCGTATTTTTCGGTTCTTTTTGTAACAATCAATTTATATTTAAGGTTCATTATTAGTAATTATGGCACATTATATAAATATTATATTTAAGGTCTTTTTAAAGACATAATAAAAATAAATCTAAGTAGTCTTTCTCCTATATGTTCGACAATTTCACATCATCCTCTTCTATTTTCTTCGCACATTACAATGCCTAGACCTTTCATTTCCTTGACTTGAAGAATTTTTTTTTGTTTTTCTTGTTCCGTTTCCAATTTGTTTGTTCTAGGTGCATTAATTAAAAAAATGCTTTTTAAGTTTTCATTCTAAAGCTAAAAGTCAATTTTAAAAGCTTTTAAATTTCTCACGTCAATAGAAAGATTAATTTTGAATTTAAATAACCAAATAATCAAAAAATTGATTTCACAAATTGTTTCTTTGGTAAAACAATATCACATGAAACAACAAAATAAAAGTTTTTCAACCAATTGAGGGCAGTCTGATCAATCAACCTTTTCTTTTCCAACTTAACAAGAAAAAACAATAATTTAGAAATGGAAAGAAAAAAATCAAACGAAAAATGGAAACAAGTTATATTTTGTTAAACGTTATTCAATCTTTCCTTAATTAAACTGATGTCTAAAAGTTATAAAAATCAGCCTTTTCGAAAGTAAATTCGCGTTATCAAAGCATTTCCTCACAGCGCTAAGGAAGAAGAAACCATATTTCTCAAATTGAGCTACATGTGCAAAATAAAATTACATTCATTTACCCTTGAATAGTCTCTTTAACCCATGAAGAAAAACAGTGGTCGTCTAATTTTAACCAATTAGGGAAACCTGCAGATTGTGGAAGGAAAATTGCCGGAAGTGGAATTGCCGACGTAATCGTTACCCATTTAGAAAAACTATCGTAGATTTAAGAAGAACCATTAAATAAATTGGAGAATAAATTTTCCATCAAACTCGTGACA